TTTTTTTTCTGAGACAATCCGGCTAAATCACTAAATTGCCCAGGCTGGATTCTAATTTGTAATCCTCCTCTCTCAGCCTCCGAGACTGCTAAGATTTCAGGCCTGCACCACCACCACATCCTGCTGGGGTGTACGTCATCTCTTAATCTCCATCTTCAGGGTCCTCAGCGGTGCAGGTGAGGGTTATCTGAGACAGGCCTGTAAGGCACCTGACAATGGAGAGATTTTAGCAATCTCAGCTTGTAGCGGGGGGGGGCGGGGGGACGGACTAACAGGTCAGGATCTCAACAGAAACCCACTCAACAACCCGCCCTGACGTCCAACTCACCGCTGCCCTGTGGCGGCCGAGAGGAGCCGCACGGAAGGGCTGTAGGGCCACAGCCGGCACAGGCGCAGGGGCAGCAGGGGCAGTCGGGTCGGCATGGCGGCGGGCGGGCAGCTGGGGAAAGGAGGCCACCAAGGTGGGGGTGCATTGGAACCGGACCGGGGCAGATTTCAAGCGCTCCGGGCCCAGGCGGATGGAAGGGGCTTGGCCCGAATTTCTCGCCAAGGAAGACTGCGGGAGGCCCGGGGAGAGGGGCTCCTCGGTCAGGATCGGACCCAGGCACCCCAGGGCCTTTCCGGAGTAGCCTCTGGATCTGGCCACCTGCAGGGACGCTACGACCCTCTCCCCAAGCCAGCCATTAGGGGGACGAGGGAAGAGCCACGGCCAAACCCCGCCCCCAGTCTCCACTCACAGACTCGGAGGTCTCAGGCATTTCCTTTGCGTCTACCGGTCCCGCCTCTGAATTCTCATTGGCTCAGACGCTAGGGCCCCACCCTTGTACTCCAGTCGGCCTGGGACACCTCCTCTACTTACAGACTGGGTAGAGCCGGGCTGACTCAGCCAGACTTTGCGCCCTGTGGCTGCCTCCCTCCACCCGCTGCCGGTTCCTCGGCACGTTTCACCGAGCTGCTTCCACCCTATAGATGTGCAGGAACCTTACCAGTGCCTGGCGTGAGAATCACGGCCCTCATTCCCATCTGCCACATGTTCTGTCCCTCACCCACCCTCTCCCAGCGACCCCTCTCTCTCATGGAAACAGCAGATGCCAATGGAATTCGAGAATAAAGTCCTTTATTGTCCTCAGAGCTGTGGATAGGGCTGGGTGGCGTCCCCAAGGCAACTCAGATGTCACGCGCCTGGACCCGGTTGTAAAGGAGGATAGCACCTTTGGCTGAGGGACAGAGCTCGGCCCACATCTCCGTCTCCTGCAATCTCTGCATCCTCTGTAGAAAGAAAGTGACCGGGTATCCAGCCCTTGTCTCCTGCTGGGGCTGTGCCCAGAACTCCCAAACCTCAGAGCCCTCAGCACTGCACCAGCCCTAGGGAGGCGTTACCAGGGCTTCACAGACCCCACCCTTTCCCTTGTGCAGAGGGCAAGCCTGTGACTCTGAGAAACTCCAAGAGGCCTGGGGTCCCCTACCTGACCCAGCCACCCTCTCCGACCGGGCCTCTCTGCAAATCCCAGCCCGGGAGGCCAAGCAGGATGCATCTGCTGCTCCGTACCTGTGCCTCCACAAAGATGATGCCTGTAGACTCGTGGGCCTCAGGTCCTCCGCCTAGGTAGTAGTTCCTCACCTCCTCAGAAGTCAGGCTGCACCTAAACAAGGATATGAGGGTGGCTTGGGGGGTGTCCACCCTGCAGGATCCCTGTGGAAACCCAGCTGCCTCTGCCCCAACCCTCCCCACCCATCTCTGCCAGGACCCAGGCTACAGTGCCCCAGAGTTCACTCACCGGATGTAGAACTCGGCACTCGCCCGGCCGGCACTGGTCTCATTGCCGGCAATGCCCAACAGCAAGGGCTGGCTCAGAGTGTGCAGCGGTAGGTTCACCTGGGCAGGGGATCCCACCTGTCAGTGCCCACATCCCTGCCTTCTCAGGGAAGAGCAGCCTATTACTACCCTATTACCTCTTTGTGGTTTATATATCAAGTGCTGAGTGTCACAATGTCAGATCTTGGGGACGTTCATTTTACAGATGGGAAAACCGAAAGTACAGAAATTGAACAAATTGCCCAGGGGAGTCAATTTAGTAACTGAGACTCCCATTTACTCCACTTTCAACAAACTTGGGGAATAGGGAAGACATTCACCATTATTTACACTGTAAAGAGGGATAGCCTGAGGGCTAGAATTCTACTTTGTTTGTTTGTTTGTTTGTTTGAGACAGGGTCTTGATCTGTAGTTCAAACCGAATTTAAGCTGGGCGTGGATCTGGGCGTGGTGGAGCACGCCTGTAATCCCAGCACTGGGAGGCTGAGAAAGGAGGATTGTTTTGAGTTAGAGGCCAGCCTGGGCTACAAAGTGAGCTCAAGGCCAGCCTGAACTGCATAGTGAGACCCTGTCTAAAAAAAAAAAAAAGAAACTGAAGCAGTCCTCCTGCCTCAGCCTCCTAAGTGCTGAGGTGGCAGGAGGGCACCATCACATCCAGTTCAAAATTCCACTTCTGAGTATACCCACATGCAAAGCCAAGCTCTTCCTTTAGTGCCACCTACGTTACTGCAGACTTCCCATCAGCCCAGACCTGCAGAAATCTAGCAAGTTCTACCCCTTCTCTTCATGCCCACCATTCTGTCAGAACCACCTCTCACCTCATCACAGATCTCCTGCAGGATACTGGAGAACAGCTCACGAACCACCAGCTCCCCCGGGAGGTCCTTGTGTTGGGGGTTGTCACCAGGGCACAGGGCCTATGAGAGATCAGGCTTAGCCTCTGCTCTTCACCTCTTCCCACCCTGTCTTCCCCTTTGCTGGCCCTGGTGGCCTGGGGTGGACACAGTGTAAGACTCTTAATGATCCCTTAACCCAGGTCCCCTTTGTCCAGTAGAGAACCAGAGGTCCAGCTGGGAAAGGGCCACACAGGGAGAAGGTAAGCCATCTTCTTCCTCTGCCTACTCCCCTCCCCACTGGTCTGCTGCAGGTTAGGCCTGTAGCGGGGTCTTCCAGACAGCGGTGAGTTGCGTGTCCCCATCTAGAAGTACATGACTCTGTAGATGGTAGTCAGCTGGCTCATTCCTGTTCCTGGGTCAGCCATACACTGCAGCAAGGGAGGCTGCACAGCTGCTCCGAGTGGACTCAGAGAAATATCAGGCCAGTTTTCCCTGAGCTAGGAGGGCTTACAAGTCCAGCTCCCTTGAGCTGTCTGGGGTTTTGTGCCTTTTCACCCAGCCTGGCATCTCACCTGAGGCTCAGGGTGCCCACCAGGAACATCCACCAGTCCAGGGGCCTCGGCCACCTGCCAAGAGCGGCGCAAGAAGACAAGGAAGTTGTTCGCTGTGACAAGTATAGCACCCACTCCTAGTGGGTCAGCCAGATAGGCTTGCTTGTCATTCCGATCTATAGCTCCCTGCTGTCGCAGCCAGGAGGCTGAGCTGGCCCAGTTGGTGCCCAGGAAGTCTCTGTAGGAAGTCAGGCCCAGGCGCAGGAGCAGCTGTGGTCCGGGAGAGTCAGTGGGTGCCAGTGTGGCTGAATGCAGGCGGAACTTCGGGGCATTGAAGAGCCAGGGCTGGGTCTGTCGCCGGCTTTCCCAGATGGCTGCGATGGTCTTGTCCACTCCTGGTAGTGGCTGACGATCATGGGCTGGGCTCAGCTCCACCCTTACCTGCTCCTGGGGCAGTCCCCCAGGAGGGCACTGCAGCAGCAGGGACACTTCAGGGTCCATGGTCTGGACAGGGAAGCTCTGGAGAAGGACATAGTCAGGCCTGTCACCATGGAGGGCACACAGCCACCCTTTGGCCCCGTTCTGCCAGACTCCGCCACAGACCGCCTGAGGGTACCCCTGGCCCTTCCAACCTCCCTGACCCCTCCTGGGGAGTTAGTATACCATTATCCCAGCAACACCCTTAAGCGTGGGCTGCGTGGGGGGGACTCTTGCTGCCAGAAATTCCTGGGACTTCTTTTTTTTTTTTTTTTTTGGTCTTTTTGAGACAGGGTCTCGCTATGCAGTTCAGGCTGGCCTTGAGCTCACTTTGTAGCCCAGGCTGGTCTCGAA